AGTTTGAATCAAAAGGAAAGAAAAAAGAAAAAGTCGTGCTAAAGACACGAAATGTCTGTGAGGTTACACACACACACCCCTGTTCTCTGAATGGCCATTCAGCCCTTTTTTAATGATTCTTTGAGCCTTAAAAATTTTTGTGTGTTAAAAAAAGCACAGTTGCTCATATTTTAATTGACATCCTCTGAATTTTTAATCCAGTTTCTCCCTCCACTTGTGTTCTTGACCCTTTTATTTATTTGTTTATTGGGGCATTTTTTAGAGGCTACCATGCCTGGCACGGGGCTGGGCTCTGGGATACTTACCATGATGTCTGTTCTCATGGAGCTACAGTCCGGAGAGAAAGGCTATCATTCCACAAATAATTACAAATATGATGAAAGTAGTTATCAAATATGTTGATCTGAGAGGTTCAGGAAGGCCTCCCTGAGCAAGTAACATTTAAAGCTGAATCTTGCCCTGACTTGTGTGGCTCAGTTAGTTGGGCACCCTTCTGCAAAGCAAAAGGTCTCCAGTTCCATTCCGTGTTCACAGGCCTGGGTTGCACGTTCAGACCCCAATCAGGGCGCATGTAAGAGGCAACCGATTGATGTTTCTCTCCCTCTCTTTCCCCCTCCCTTCTGCTCTCTCTAAAAATAAGTAAAATCTTTTAAAAAAAGCTGAGTCTTAAAGGATGATATGTCAGTTAGGAATGCTTTGGGCTGCAAAAACAGAAAACTAAACATTGAAACCATGAAGATGTTTATTATTTTCTTAAGAATCCTGAAAGCAAAGGGCTCCAGGGTTTTTGAGTGGATCAACAATATCAAGAGCCATGAGTTGACATCTCTTCAACTTTCTTTTCCCTCAGCCATTTTTCAACCTCAGTTAGGGTTACCACAGTTTCAAGTGTGACTTTCTTACATAACATCATCCCAAAACAAAGAGAAGAGACAGGGTACTGGTTCCCAAACAGCTCTCTTTCAAAAGGGCACAAAAAGTCATTGACAAGTTCCCACAAAAATGGAAAGAAGTGCATTTTTAAAAATATATACATTTTATTTATTTATTTTTAGTGGGAGGGCAGGGAGAAAGAGAAGGAGAGAAACATTGGTGTGTGAGAGACTCCACCAGCTGCCTCTCTCATGCGCCCCCAACTGGAAACTTGGCCCACGACCCAAGCATGTGCCCTGAGTGGGAACTGAACCGGCAACCCTTTGGTTTGCAGGCTGGCACTCAATCCACTGAATCACACCAGCCAGGTCCTTTTTTTAAACAAACAAACAAAAATAATCTGTTTATTATAAGCTAGTAATGTTTCAAATTGTGGAGCTTTTACTGGTCTTTCAATTGCTTCAGTCTTCTGATGACAGACTTTACTGTGAGGGCAGAAGTGGGGTTGTTGGTTCAGGCACCGCCAGTGACAGTTTCCGCGCAGGAACCACAGTGCTAGATCCTCACAGCTCATCTCTTCATCTTGGTTTCGCCATAGGAGCAAGTGTACTTGGCGTGCTGGCTGATCTCAATTTTCTTCACCATTTTCCTGAGGGAGGTGCCATAACAAGCCTCATAGTTACCGATCATTCCCACCTTCTTGGTGCATTCAGCCGTGTTGCCACAAACTGGGTCGGAACTAAAAAAAAAAAATGCCTTTTGGGCCCAAAGTGAATTACATGCCCACCTCAGATGAGCAAAGAGGAAGGACTGCCATGATTGATGTCGACCAGTCATCATTTACCCCATAGCACAGTGAGGACCCTACCTTCTTTGAAGACCCCTCAGTTGAGGGTGAAAGGGACCACCATTTCTGGATAGGGAAGCCTAGCTGATTCAAACAAATCCTCACACCAATCAAAACTTTTTTAAAAACTAAAAGAGTCATCTTAAAAACATCAGAGAAGTAACAAGAGTTGAGGATTCCTGAGTTGATATGCTGAGATACTGAAGAGGGTGGGAGGGTGGAGAAGCAAAGCCTTCCCTGAAGGCTGCTTGTGCCTCGGGGATTTTGTTCTGAAAAAGTATGAGCTGCAATTCTGGCAGCCTCAAGGAGCTAGGGTGAAATTCCAGAGTCAGAGTCCTGCCAAGAATGAGGAACTTAGCGAGCATTTCTCTGCTTTGGGTGTGATGTTAAAGGGGTGCATGCTAGGTGTAAGAGTGACCCTGAAGATATCAAGCCCCGAACTTGATTTAAGATGGTTCTCAATTGCTAGTGCCCTTTAGAGCCAACAAAAAAATAAGTTCTCTTTAGAGGAAGACAATATTATCTTGAGGGCCATGGCATTTCTATAAATAATTTTTCAAAAACAATTTCTAGCACACAAAGATAACTCGAGGATATAAGAGAGCATGAATAAGAACATTAGATACAATAGAAAATAGAAATAGACTCGTAGGGTTTCCAGATATGGAATTATTAGCATAGATTATAAAACAATTATGTTTGTTATGCTCAAGAAATAAAAGGCAAGAATGGAAAATTTGGCTAGGAACTGGAAACTTTGAAAAATGATATAACAAACTTAAAGGTAAAAAAATGTAAGTTCTGGAATTTAAAACTAAAATAACCAAAATTAAGAAACAGACAGTTGTAGCTGCAGATTAGAAATAGCAGAAGACTTAGGTCTGCCTGAGCAGGACGGCTGCTGCCGTGTCGGGGATGGATCAGCACCGGATCCTGCCGGCGGCTCTCTCAGTTCTCTCCCAGGCCTCCTTCCCCGGTCTCTCCTAGGGCGTTTCTGGCCCGCTCTGCCCCGCCTTTGCGGGAGACCAGAGACCAGGGTATGTAAGATGCTTGGCGCAACTCAAGGCTGGACCACTGGCTCCAAGATTAGTGAAGCCAATAGTCACGGGAGCTACAATTCTGAAGTGAAGTCATGCATAACAAAAGGCCAATTACCCGACAGACATGATTAGATATATTAGGTAGCATCTTAGCTGGTCTAATATGCTTCACCCCAAAATTGTCAGGTTTGAAAAATGATATGTAATAAATTCCTTATTTTTCAAATAAAAATGGGACATAAAATCTTTTAAAAAAAGAAAAGAAAAAAGAAATAGCAGAAACCAAAGTTAATGGACTGGAATATAGATCACAAGCAAATATCCAGAATGACACATAATGGAGTAAAAAGATGGAAAATGCAGAGGAGTGCGTAAGAGACATGGATGTCATGATGAAAAGAGTTAAACTGAGTCCCATAAAGAAAGGAAAGAATGAACATAGGCAAGAGTTGAAGGAAAATGTCCGAAAATTTTCCAGAATTGATGAAACACACCAAATCATATATTTAAGAAACCAACAAATCCTAAGCAGGATTAAACAAAACAGGATGAAACAACAAAATCCACCCAAAGCATGACCTTACACCTTATAGTGAAACTGCAGAAAACCAAGGACAAAGGAAAAATAGTAAAAGCAGTCCTGGCTGGTGTGGCTCAATTGGTTGGAGCATTGATTGTCCCGTAAATCCAAAGGCCATGGGTTCAATTCCCAGTGAGAGCAAATATGGAAGGAGCGGGTAGTTGATGAATGTTTCTCTCTTATATCGATATTTCTCTCCCCCCCCCCTCTTCTCTTACCCTCTCTCTAAAATCAGTAGGCATGTCCTCCCACATCCCTGTCTTCTGACCACCCTGGAGTCTCTCAGGCCTGGCCCTGTGCCACAACATGTCGTGACCTTCTGTCTCTAGGACCTGTGAGTGTAATAAACTTTTTTGTTTCCCTGAGCCTCTCCTCCTGTGACCTCACCTGACTTACCATCTCATAAAAACCACAAAACAAAATATGAGGAAGAGTAATTACAGGTAAATCTCATTTATGAACAATGACACAAAAAGTCTAAATAAATATCAGGAAGTTGAATCTAGCAATATATAACAAAGAATGATACATCTTGTCCAAGTTGTGTTTATTATTATTTCAGTAATGCAAGCTAAGCTTAACTTTTTAAAAAAATCAATTAATGAATTTTTTACATTAACAAACCAAATTAAAAAAATCATACACTATTTCAATAGCTGCAGGAAAACTATTTAATAAAATTCAACATACTTATGATATAAACTCTTAGCAAACTAGGAATAAAAGAGGATTTTCTTAATGTAATGAAAGATAAATACAAAGCACCAAGAGCAAACATCATTATTACTGCTAAAACATCGAAAGCTTTTCCTTTGAGCTTAGTGAAGTGATTTGATTTACTGTTGTGTAGCAAGTTACTTCAACACTTTAGTGGATTCAAACAATAAACATCTCATAGATTCTGTGCATTAGGAATTTGGAAGTGGCTTAACTGAATGGCTCTGGCCCAGAGGCTCTCGTGAGGTTGAGTGTGGAAATCAGCTGGGACTATGGTCACCTGAAGGCTTGACTGGGGCCAGAAGTTCCCACAAAGTCACTCACGCGGCTGTCAGCAGGAGGCCTTGGTTCTGCACTAGTCACCAGCTGGAGTCCTCAGTTTCTAACTACGTGTACCTCTGCTCACAAGGGAGTGGCTGGCTTCCCTAGAACTAGTTTGTAAGAGAGAGAGGCAGATGCCACTATGTCTTTTATGACTTCGACTTAGGAGTGACGTGCCATCATTTTTGCTGTGCTCAGCTGGTCACATAAACAATTAGAGAAGGTACTGGTCACATAAACAATTAGAGGAGGTACTGCACAAGGGTAGACTCCAGCCGGCAGGAATCACTGGAGGCCGGCTTGGAGCCTGGCTCCCACACCAGGAACAAGACAGACAAGGTCAGGATGCCCTCTCACCCCACTTCCGTCAACATTACTTGGAGGTTATCCAGAGTAGTACAAACGAAAAAGAAATAAAAGCCAAAGGGAGTAGAATGAAGAAGCAAAACTGTTGATATTCACAATGGATGCGATTGTGTGCACAGAAAATCTCAAGGACTCTACTGCTTAGAGGCATCTTCCTTCCCTCCTAAGCCACCAGCTTCATGCCTGGGCCTTAGCTCTCATTCTGCAGTTTTCCAAAAACCAGTTCCACTGAAAGAGAGTTAAAGGTCCTCAGCAATGAGAGAGGTTGCCCTGTAAAAGTTGAAGCTAAGCAACTTGTCTGTGTGCGCTTATTCTCAGCTGGTCTGCCAAAGACCCCCTGAGCACCAGCCCTGGTCCCCTGCGCAGCCCCGTTTTCTCTCCAGCAAGATGAGAGAAACTATCATGGACCAAGAGAAACTCGCAGAACTGCAGGCACAAGTGCACGTTGATGGGAAAGGCACTGCTCGCTGAAAGAAGGTGGTTCCCAGAACAGCTACCGCAGATGATAAAAATCTTCAGTTCTTCTTAAAGAAGTTAGGGGTAAACAATATGTCTGGTATTGAAGAGGTAAATATGTTCACAAACCAAGGAAGAGTGATCCACTTTAACAACCCTAAAGGCCAGGCATCGCTGGCAGCGAACACTTTCACCGTCACAGGCCACGCTGAGGGAAAGCAGCCGACAGAAATGCTGCCCGGCGTCTTAAGCCGGCGTGGTGCAGACAGCCTGGCTAGTTTAAGGAGACTGGCTGAAGCTCTGCCCAAACAGTCTGTGCATGGAAAACCACCGCTTGCTACAGGAGAGGATGATGATGATGAAATTCCAGATCTTGTGGAGAATGTCGATGAGGTTTCCAAGAAAGAAGCAAACCGAATTGAGTCAACTTTGGGAGGAGATACACTTGAGGAAGTTACTGGGAGCTGCCTTTTCAAATTTTGTTTATGGATCTGATAAAATCTCGATCTCTAATATTTTTAGGCCTTAGCCCCTTGGACACTGCAGCTCGTTTCAGTTTTTGCTTATACAGAAATCATTCTTTGCAGCCAATTAACTGAAAAAGCCTAGGAATAAAGTTTGAAACCAAGGTTAATAAAGTTCTTTGCCTAGTATAGTTTTTTGTTTTAAGTTTTTATTTTATTTTTTATTTCATTGACACTGATTTGGACACAGCAAAGTTGTTTGTAGAAAGCTAATCACAGCATGTAATATTACAGATAATCTTTGATGGAATTTTATTATTAAAGATTTAACATGGTAGTATAACATAAATGTCTAAACAAGATAAAAAGGAAACAAAAGCAAGAGAAAGAGTTAAATTTAAGAAAACAAACTGAGACTGGGATAGGAAGACTATCTTGAAGAAAAGGAAAGAGGAGGAGAGGAAGAAGAAGCCCGCTGCAGAAACCAACACTGGAAATGGAGGGGCCTCACTTGGGCGCACAGCAAGCTGGGGGGCCTGTTTTACAGCAGGTTTATCAGCAGTCCTTGTACCTCCCTGCAAAATAGTCTATAAACTACTTCTTAAAAAGTTTGTTTTCAGTAGCCCTAGAAACAAAATTTTAAGTTTTTAGTAGCTAAAAACCTAAAAACAAATTTTCAAGGAGGAAATTCTACCTCACTCTATTCTTTTTTACAAATTTAGATAAATTTAAATTTTTATGAAGCTGATGATTTTTCTGAACAACCGTAAATTGAATTAAGGGAGACTTTATTACCTTGAGTGTAAACTTAACATTCCATAGTCAGGAGAGAGGGTAGTTTTTATAACAGACAAACAAATTTTGATGAAATACAAAGCATAAACCAATGACAATTTAGAATTCTAATCATGCATTTAACATTTCTTAGACATTTTAAATGGTCTACCTTCTATATCCATGTTTTTAAAATAACTTTATTGAAGTATACTCTGCATATCATGCAATTTAAGTATACAATTCAAAACTTTCAGTAAATTTACCAAGCTGTGTAACCATTGCCATAAATCAGTTTTAAAACATTTTCATCATCTTAATAAGATCTATCAAAACATTAAATCTTAACCCTGTTCCCCCTCTTCTACCCCAGGCAGCCACTAACCTACTCTCAGTCTCTATGGCTTAGCCTTTTCTGGATATTTCATATACACAGAATCATACAATATGAGGTCTCTTGAGTCTGACTTCTTTCACGGGGCATAATGTTTTTGATATTCATCCGTGCCATAGCATGTATTTGTATTTTGTTCCTTTTAATTGTATTCCATTGTATGGACATACCACATTTTTTCCTATCCATTCTCCAGTTGATAGCCCTTAGGATGTTTCCAAGTTCATTTCTATTTTGGTTATGATAATGTTGCTAAGAATATTTGTGTGCAAGTTCTTATGTGGTATATGTTTTCATTTATCTTGGGTAGATACCAAAGGTTGAAATTGCTAGGTCATGGTAAGTGTATGGTTAATCTTTTGAGGAACTGCCAGTTTTTCAAAGAGACTGTTCCATTTTTTTTATTCCTACCAGCAACATCCGAGGCTTCCCGTTTTTCTACAACCTTGCCAACATTTGTCTGTCTTTTTAATTATAGGCATTTTAAGTTTTGTTTTCAAGATTTTATTTACTCATTTTTAGAGAGAAGGAAAGGGAGGGAGAAAGAGACAGAAACATTGATATGTCCTGACCAGGGACAGACCCGGGACCAAACCAGGGACCCTTTGTCTTGTGGGACAATGCCCAACCAACCAAGCCAAACCAGTCAGGGCTTAATTAGAGCCATTTTAATGGTAGCTTCTTGTGGTTTTGATTTGCAGGTCCCTAACCACTAATGATATTAAGCATCTTTTCACTTGCTTATTAACTATTTTTATATCTTTTTTATGTGAAATGTTTATTCATTTTTTTTTTTTTGCCCTTTTTTGATTGCGTTGTTTGTTTTCTTATTATTGAGGTGTACAAGTTCTGGATATACACCCAGGTGGTCAGTAGAATTGTCTCTTAAACACAACTTTACTCTGGTCTTGGATCTTCCTCTCAGAATGATGAGCTATCCTTCACACCTTGGTACTGGTAGTCTAGTTTTTCCTATTAACGTTCATAGTGTGCTCTAAAGCCTAAATTTTTATTGAGTATATGGTGTGTATAATATTAAAATTAAAAAAATTGACCCTGGCCAGTGTGGCTCAGTAGATTGAGTGCCAGCCTGCAGACCAAAAAGTTGCTGGTTTGATTCCCAGTCAGAGCACATGCCTGGGTTGCGGGCCCAGTTGGGGGCATGAAAGGGGCCACTGATTGCTCTTTCTCTTACACATCATGTTTCTCTCCCTCTTTTTCTCCCTCCCTTCCTCTCTCTCTAAAAATAAGTAAATAAAATCTTTAAAAAAAAAATTTTTTTTTTAATTAACACTGTCTGTATTAGTATCCTATGGCTGCTGTAACAAATTACCATAAATTTAGTGTCTTAAAACAACCAAAATTAATTTTCTTACATTCATGGAGGAGATCAGAATTCCAGAAATCGGACCCCAGAATCGTGTCTTACAGAAAGGAAGCCCCAGAGTCAGCAGGGCGGGTTCCTCCTGGAGGCTCCAGGGAAGAATATTTTGCTAGTTTTTCCAGCTCCTGGTAGTTGCCCACACCAATCATTCCAATCTCAAGTGAGTTCCTTCTCCTCTTTTGTGGTCATGTCTTACTCTGTCTTCTTCTTATCAGGACCTTTATGATTACATTTGCGATCTGCCCAGACCATCCAGGATAACTGCCCCATCTCATTGTCCATACCCTTAGTCACACCTTCAAAGACTCTTTTGCCACATAAGGTAACATTCACAGGTTCCAGATAATTAGGACCTGGATATCTTTGGAGGCCATTTTTCAGCCTACCACACTGTCCAATAGAAATGGAATATAATGTGAGCCACAAATACAAGTCACATATGTAATTTAAAATTTTTTAGTAGTCACATTTTTAAAACAGTAAGATGAGACAGGTGAAATTAGTTTTAATAACATATTTCATTTAGCTCAAAATATACAAATTATCACATCAACATGTGAGCAACACAAAATTGTTACTAAGATAACTTGCTTTTTTTTTCATGCTAAGTCTTCAAAATCTGTTATTTTTTACACTTAAATCATGCTACCATTCAGAGCAGCCACATTTCAAGTGCTAGATACACGCACATGACTGGCAACACTACGGCCAACTACTAAACAGGAAAGTCACTGGAATAACTATTCAGAAAAGGATGGCAACAACATCGATTTTCTATTTTTAATGCTTACATAAAAAATTTGTACAGACTGTTCCTAACGTTTGTGTCTGATCATTAAACACTCCCCAAAAAGAATAAAGTGGAAGGACTTACTCTATCGATATCAAATTTTGTTATATAGCTACAGACTGTATTGTACTCTGCAAGGATGAACAAATAATATAACAGAGGATCCAGAAATAAAACCATGCAAATACGGACACTTCTTTTCTGCTGAATGTCCCTCTGCACAGTAGTGAACAATGACAGTCCTTTCAAAAATGCTGCTGGCATAACTGAAACATGACCCCCACCTCCCAGTATAAATAAAAATCAACTCCAGGTGCATACTAGTCTTAGTGAGATAGGCAAAACAAAGACACTTTTCAGAAGATAAAATGAAGAGTACCTTTGTGACCTGGGTGTAGAAGATTTTTTTAAAACAGAAAAAGCACTAAACATAATAAGTACATTAAATTTAAGAACATCTTTTAATCAAAGACATTATTAAGAGAATGAACAGGTAAACCATAGAGTGAGTAAGATATTTTCAACATGTGCCAAAGAGTTCATATCCAGAATAAAGAACTACAAGTTAATAAGGAAAAGTCTAATATAAAAATATGCAAGAGACTTGAGCAGGCATCTCACAGAGGATGTCCGAATGGCCAATGAACATATAGAAAGGTGCTCAACCTCATCTATGGTCATGGAAATGCAAATTAAACCTACACTGAGATTTCAACACAAATTCACCAGAATGGCTAAATAGACAGACACCCAAGGCAAAGAGTTGGTGAGGATGTGGAACAAGAGAACTCAAACCCTGCTGGTAAGAACGACTGCTTTGTACTTCAATCAGTATAACTACTTTGGCATTATCTAGGTTGAAGAAATTCTATGACCAATGATTCAACTTCTAGCAATATACTCAATAAAAATGCATGTGATAGAAACCATTCTTATATTACCCTATTTGAATAGCCAAAAACTGGGGAAAAACCAATATCCATTAACAGTATAATGGATAAATTGTGGTATATTTCTGAAGTGGAATTCTATATGAAAATGAATGAAGTACGGGTATACAGAATAACATGAATGCATGCTCAAAATCTAGATATATAAAAAATGCATTCTGTCTGATTCCATTTGTATAACATTCAAAAATGGGAAAAAATAAATGATTGTGCATTATTCACAATCACCCAAAGATGGAAACCTCCTAAGTGCCCCTCAGTAGATAAGTGGATACACTAATGTGGTATATCCACACAAAGGAACATTATTAAGCCATAAAAAGGAAGAAGTTCTGATACATATTACAATATGGATGAACCTTGAAAACATTATGCTAAGTGAAATAAGCAAGACAGAGAAGTACCTACAAATACTGAAGGTACTGACACAAGGTTTCTAGAATAGACAAATGCATACAGGCAGAAAGTGGATTAGAAGTTACCAGGGGCTGGTAGAGGTGGGAATGGAGATTTTTACTTCATGGTTATATAGTTTCTGTTTTGGTGATGAAAAAGTTTGGGAATGTATAGTTATAACGGCTGCACAACATTCTGAATGTAATTAATTCTACTAAATTGTATACTAAAAATGGTTAAAATGGAAAATTTTGTTATATATACTTTATTACAATCTTAAAAAATTAGTAATGTAATATACCCCAAACCACTGAATCATATACTTCAAATTGGTGAATGGTTTGGTTTGTGAATTTTATTTCAATAAAGCTTCTTCTGGTAAACCTAAATGGTTGTTTTTAAGATTCATTTTTAGGTGGTAAGACTATGAAGAAAAAGTAAGTAAATGATCCCCATAAATATCAGGAGAGCAGGATACTGGGTACTTCACAGGGGTGGGAGGAGTCTGTGACCAGAAATTGGAGTCTGTGCCCCAGCATTATGGGGGCTCTGGGTGCTGGCAATGTCCTTCTCTTGACCTGGGTGCTGGTTGCAGGGAGTCCCATTTTATAATATCCATTGAATGGCACACTGATGTTTACAACACCTTAAAAATGTGTTATTTTTCACAACGCTTTATTTTTTAATTTAAAACTCAGCAGGAACAAAGTATTAGGGGTGCTGGAGGAGGGTGGCTTGTTGAGTAGACAGGAAGTGCCTGTCAGGGGGAACAGAGCTTGTTCCCTGAGCAGAAGCAGAAGGGAATTCTATCCAGAGACAGCAGCAGGTCCCAGTTGCAGATGTACAGAAGAATGTGGTGAACCTGAGGAACTGAGAGGTGACCAGCCCAGTTTTGCTGAGGTTTAGAGAACAAGAGGGGAGAACTGTGTTTGATGAAGACTGAGGACCGGGCAGAGGCCAGCTGGTGGACAGCTTGGCAGCCACATGACAGTGTTTTAGACATTGTCCTAAATGTCTAAGGAACAGTGCTGTGTCATGGAGGGATTTTAAAGTGGTGAAGTGACCTGATTGAATCTGTTAGCTCATTCTGCCTGGAACATGGGGAACAGATTGGACCCGGTCAGGAGTAGGAGCCAGGAGGCCAGTTAAGACGGCATTTCAATGATTCTGAGGGTGGGAGGAGCTCAGATTAGGGCGGAGGCAGTGCGGAGTTGAGGATACAGTGTCCTTGGGCCCTGTTCAAGTATATGCAGCACTGTCTCTTCTGTATGTAGTTAAAAATACTTAATGTTATATCGTATACCCTGTTATGTACTGAACCTTACCATGTACAGTACATGCATATATACCTATATAATTACTTGCACATACATTTTGTGTACAGAGTGATGCACACAAAATCAGAGTCACTGTAGTCTCTGAATAGTTCAAGGGATTTCCAAATGTTATGTTGACTATAACTTTTGCCTTACACGCTGATTTTAGAACCTAATCTTGGTGTAAGGAGCGACTCCATTGTTGATGGACTTGAGATATTGAGGAGATTCAGTGGGTGATTGGAATAGGAGGGAGAACAAGAGGGATTAATTAAAGAGTAATAGTCTCAGGTCTCTTGCCTAAACAACTGATTAGATAGGGGTTCTATTTATTGAGGTGGGGCTCACCGGGGAGGAACAGTTGGAGGACAGAGATGATGGATTCTTTTTTCTCAGTATTTTATGAAAAATTTTGAAAATGCAGAAAAGTTGAGAGATTGTACAGTAAACACCCATATAGCCACCACCTAAATTCTACAAGGCACTTACTGTTCTATTTTCTTTTTCACATCATCCCAGGTACCAAGAGGAGTTCATTTCTGAGCACACTGAATTTGTGGTATCTAAAAGACTTCCAAGTGTCCTAATAGGTCTAGAGTGCAGAAGTACATTCAAGTAGTAGGTGACACTTGCTGCCTGCCCCTCTTTGCCTCCCATTCACGTACATTCCCTGCAGTTTGGCTTTGACATTTTTCTCCTGAAGGTGCTTTCACTAAGGACACCAACTATTGAGGACTCCAAAATTGAACTTATTATCCTCCTCCCATATATCCTACCCTGCAGTTACCCAAACCTCAAACTTAGGAGTCATCCTGGACATCTGCAGCAAACAGGGCAAATCAATCCTGTTTCCTAAATATTTTTAAAAGATGTCCCCCGCCCCCCGCTTTAATTCCCTGTATCACTAACAAAGTTCTGGATCTCAGAGTCCTGTTTTATTGATATTGAAAAAATGAAGTTTCAACCTCTGAACTGGTCCCTGCCTCTAACCTCTCTCCCGCTCATCTAGTGCTATCCACATGCCTGTCCATCTATATTTAAAAAAAAAAAAAACCAACAAACAACAAACTTTCACATCAATTTTCTTTAAAAAAATTTTTTTTTAATTTACTGATTTTATAGTCAGAGGAACATCAATTTGTTGCTCCACTTATTTGTGCATTCATTGGTTGATTCTTATATGTGCCCTGACCTGGTGTGGAACTCACAATACTAATGTATGGAGCAATGCTTTAACCAGCTGACTTACCCAGCCAGAGAACTTGTTCACATAACTTTTCTTTTGCAATCCTTCACAGGTGCTTATTGCCAGGCTGGTATGACTTCTAGTCTTCAAGGTCTTCCAGAAAGCATGACTAAGTTTAAATTTTTAACCTCATGTCTAGCTACTCCCCCACTCCATTTTTACTACTTAATGGCTCTTCAAATATACCAACCACATTTTCTGCTTTACAGCCTCCTCCAAGACCTCCCTGGAAACCAAGGTCGGATACAGGTCTCCACAGAGCTAATGATCCCCGAGAATTTTAGCCAGAATGCAATGGGGCATAGCCAGGGCCCCCCCAAAGGGTATTTGTAACAGGGTCTAAAAAATGGGGTGTCCAAGAAAAATATATTCTCCCTACCCCAGGGCGGGCCGCCATGGGGGATGGGAGCCTTGAGCAGGGCCATTGAGAGTCATTTTGCACGTCAATAACAGGATAGCTTCATTCTTCATATGCAAAGAGGGTTATTTGGCATATCACCAAGGCTAATCGGGAAGGATTGAAAGACTTAATGCAGAATGTAACTGGGAGAGGAAGAGGAAAGACAGGACCCTGCAGGAGAGACACTGGGACACAAACTCTGGGGAACAGTGTGAAGACCACACGGGAAGAAAGAGGGGAGAAAGGACTCTTGCTAGTGGGCCATGAGAAGGTGTCACATAGTTTGGATTAAGAACTGGAGATTACAGCGACGCAGTGGATGGTGCTGAGAACCGTGAGAGGCCTGCCTAGCTGAGCCACGGACTCCAGTTTTTTTCTCCTGAAGGACGGTACCCCTGACTGGCCTAACTGGGCAAAGCGGGGGAAGGCAGGACTGTGTGTGTTGGTGGGTATTTTTAAGGGATTTTGAGATTTAAGAGCGACCTTTAGCCATTAATCAAATTTGTATAACTTTTGAATAAATAGTTCCTTTCCTATTCACCAAACTCTGCCATTCAGAGCCATAATTCCAAGGGCGGTAGGCAAAGGATCTACAACCGAGGGGCCTCGGGGAAGGTGGTGGTGGGGGGTCGTTGTTTCGGTAATAGCATCTGGGCAACACCCCTCTTCCCCACTGGTCCATTTGTTACTTAACAAGAATACTTAGCACTTTTGCCGAATACAAAACGGACACTCTTTTACTTTAGCTGAGCTTTGCATACATATATCCACGGCTTTGTAATCCTCTCCTTTCCTTCCAGCAAAATCCTACTCAAGCTTGAGTTCCTCCAGGAAGCTTTCCAGGCCCCTCCCAGTAGTCTGGGGCTCTGACTCCGTTATCCACCGTCCTTGGACTTAATAAATCATATTTTAATAGTTTACACAATTGCAGTAAATGTGAACATTTTTACCTTTTCTTGGAAACTAATAGCAATCCTATCCCTGCTTCTAGGCTCTATCCAAAGCCACCTGCATTTAATAGTTCGCTGACCCCTAGCAAGAATGACTTCTTTTAACTCATCTGATGATGCGTATACTTATTTAGCACTGATACTCTTTCATTACAGCTGCTTACTATTGCTCTCCCGTTCCCTTCCTCTCCTCTCGGGTAGACTGTAAACTACAGGTTGGGACACCGGTCCTACTCTTATCGGCACTGCGCCCAGCCCAGCACTCGTCCAGCACTGCGCTTTGCAAACGCAGCTTAAGGATCGTTGTTCGCTGATTTTCCCGCGGGTTCCTCCACCTGCCGCTCCCCGAGAGCTTGCGACGACCTCCCTCAGCGAAGGACGAACTAGTTGGTGGGTGGGCGGGGGAAAGAGCTGGCCCGCCCCACCCTGCTCAGTCCGTGGGTCCTAGTGCCTGTCGGAGGTACGCCGAGGCCGAACTTCCGCCCAGGCGCAGTGACGTTCTTCGAGAGCGTGAGGAGGTAAGCAGCGGTCGCCCCGGCTCCGGCTTGACGGTGAAGGGGCGGGGCCCACGGCGTTTCTCGCTCTTTCATTGGCCCCCGTGCTGACGGACTGGGAAGGGAGCCACTAAGACGTTGCTTGCTTAGAAGCAGCCATCCCGGCAAAATATAGGTAAATAAACAAAAGGCTGTGGGGGATGGGAGCGCGGAGTTGCAGTGTAGGCTTGAGAGCTGCTGGGGCTCCGCTCGTCTCTGGCAGTGACAGGATGGCGTGGGCCTAGGCTCACCCACTTCCGCCATAACCGGGGTCAGGGAAGTCCCGTTTCTTGGATTATTGTCCTGGCAGCGGAGTCTCCGGGGACCCGAGTCTTACTGCTGATATTTTCAGCTCCGGTTTTCAAGGGACAGCCTCGAAGGGCTTGAGGCCCGCCAACCTGTGGTCCAGTTTAGGTCTGGCATCTACAGCCCCCTCCCCTGGCCTTGGCCAGACACCCTCCGAACTGGCCTGGCAGGTACCGCCCTGGCTGGCTGCCAACTAGACTTTGTAAAAGACAAATCTGAACACATCCTCTGCCTGAAACCGCTGGTGTCCTCGCGGGCAGAGGCACCAAGATCCATTTTAAAGCTTGTGAATGAAGCAGTTCTGGTTAGCTGCTTATCTTTGCAGCCACATCTCGGAGGATCACCACTGGAATGAGGCCCTGTCAACCTTTGTGCTTTTGCAGGAGCTGTTCTGCTGCCTGGGCGTTACCTGCCCCTTGCACCTTCTACTTCTCTCCGGAGAGGCTCTGACCTCAACAGGAGGCCTTCTCCACTACCCTCATACTGTCCCCTTCCCTGCTCCCACTCCTGGGCACTGAGCAGACAAGCACTCCCGCCGCCTCTGCACAACGCCACTTACCACACCTGCTAGGCCCCTGGAATATGAGCAACCTGCCAGAAGGGACTAGCGCCAGGGACGTTGATAGTTCAACAGGTGGATATCAAAAGAATCAACACATGGACTGTAAGGATCAAAAGTAGCGATTAAGAAGTGTCAGTCAGGGCCCTGACTGATACGGCTCAGTGGATTGGGCATCCTACAAACCAAAAGGCGGCTGGTTCGATTCCTGGTCAAGGCACACGCCTGGGATACAAGCCAGGTTTTTCTCAAAGTCGGTGTTTCACTCCCTCTCTTCCACCCTCTCTTCCCATCTCTAAAAATTAACAAAATCTTTAAAGTGTCAAGTAGGGCTGTGGCATTTGGGGGGCTCACTAAGGATATGAACCATATCTTTTTCACTTCTGAATCCTGATAACTAGCTAACAAGGTGGCATTTCTTTTTAAATATGTGAATAAATTCAAGATGACAAATAGTGAATTTAAGCCATTTATTTATGGTTCCATCACAGCCTGTGGAATGACTGACTGCTCAGCCAGTCAGGGCAGGGCAGTGGGCCTCAGGGTCCAGTCACTGAAGAAAATCCCAGCAAGCTGGCTTAGGAGGGTGTGTTTGTACGTGAGACATTACAGACGATGAGCATGCCAAATCCCAGAGGTGCTGACTGTATTCGAAGAGGGTGGGGTGGGGTTCCCCCCGTCTGATCCTCCAAAGCTCTGGGGTGACTCATTCCTCCTTGGGTTCAAGGGCTAGGGCTGATATTTATTCCCTGAGTTGGGTCCTGCTTTCCCTTGCCCTTGGCATCCTCACTGTCTCCAGCCACTAGGGCCACATTCTTCAGATAATTAATATTGAAGCAGCTGGCCTGTTCATCCCCAGGGTTCAGTCTGCAGCAGAAGGCAGAATCTCGCCAGATGTTACGTTGGGCATCACACAGGTCACTGATGTAGGCTGATTTCTGAGGAATGAGAAGGACAAAGCAGAGATGGTGAGGGAGGGGGCTGTAAGAAGTCAGGCATGGATTCTTGAGTGTGCAAAATCCCCCTTCCCTCGGCTCCTGCTGCTCTCTTCCTGATCCCTTCCTGGGGTCCAGAGAGAATGCAAGGCTGCCTTGCACAGCTAGACTTCCTGTCACGGACAGATGTGCACATTTGGAAATGCCTGGAGCTTAATAGGAACTTATCAGTGGGGAGCAGGTCAGGTCAGGTCAGGAACGAGGACTCCTTGAGCCAAGAAAAAAGATCTCCCCCACCAGTCCTCACTATTTCTGTGGGCTGTGTTGAGGTCCTAGAAGTGCGGGTAGCCTCCAGGTCTAGGCGTCGCCCTCCCCTCCCCTGCACTCCCTTGGAGACTGTGACTCCCTGCCCCACACTCACCTCCTCCTCTGCACAGCAGGCTTGCTCGGGAAGTGGCAGGTCACAGCAACGGGCAGTGATGTTTCGGATCAGCCCAGGGATCTGTTTACTGTGGTGGGAAAGGGGCAGGGGTGAGGGTCTTCAGGAACCCCCAGGCAATAAAAACGGTGCTTGGAGACCATGATTTTCCTCTTGCCCAGAGTGCCCCGGAGGGCGCCCCAAAAGGGAGGTCTGGGGGAAGGGAAGAGAGTGGGGAAGAACTGTGCAAGACTTACTGCTTGGTGAGAACCCTTTGGTTTCCACAGAGATAGTCCATGAGGTTGGGGGTGATTCGGCTGAGGTCAATGGTCAAGAGATCCCGGTCATAATTGGGGTAGGGAGCCCTGTTGGTAAAGCAGTTGTCGCGGGTAGGGCTAGGAGGGTGGCGGCAACACGAGTGGGGGTGGGTCTTTATAGCCTGTTCCTGCTCACAGTATCCATCAAGGCTCTCCTCCCACTGTGGGTCAGAAAGAGGGAAGTCAAACGCCTGGACACTTGGCCCCTTTCCCCCTCACCTTCCGCTTCCCTTGTTGCCCCACACTGTAAGGTGAGGGACTCCCAACCCCAGGTGCCAAAAGGGAAGGACAAAGAACCAGAGGGCAAGGAGGCAGCTGTGGATGTGTGGGCTGGGAAGGTGGAGGGTAGAAGCACAGGTGAGGTTTGGAGCTGGCCGACGGAGATGAGCTAGAATGGCAGGCGGAGAGGGTCGGGTGAGGCCAGAGCTGGACGGGTGGGTGGCAGGCAGGTGCACAAGTGGGTTCACGAGTAGACGAGGCCAGGAGAGCAGGATGAAGGCTCAAGATGAACAGACTCAGGTGCCAACACAATGGACGGACGGACATTCACAAGCAGATGGACGGGTAGACGTGTTCACAGCGGGGAGGTACGTGGAGGAACGGACCAGCAGGATCGGAGGTAAGAGGCGGGCGGGCGGGCAGACAGGCTCTTGGGGGGGCTGAAACCCCACTTACAGCCCTCCATGCACAGGTGTGGTTGTTTCCCTGGCGGCAGCAGCGCTGGAACTCCCCCTCCAGCCGGGTCAGAGCCCGAAGCTGCCTATGGAGGCGGTCAGTAGGTGGGAGGTTGCGTGGCACAGAGCGGAAGCGTCTTAGGTGGCAGATGTTCTTGATATTGTCCAGCGTTGGTACCCCAGGGGGGAAAGGCAGCTCGAGGCCCGAGAAAATAACAGGCTGGAGGCTGGGGCAGTCCTGGAACTTGTAGTGTGGCTGGGGAGCTTCCTCCTGGAAGCAGGAGAATCGAGCCTCCCCCTGCTTTTGGCAGCACCGGTGGGCTCGGGTCTTGACCGAGAACTCGGCCTCACAGAACCGGGTCATTGTGTCCTCCCACTAGAGCGAGAGGGGTGGATCAGCCTAGCAGCCACTGTCCACATTCCTGTCTTCCTCCCAGGCTCCAGAAAAGGACCCTGGGCACGCAGAGAGGAAAGAAGCAGAGACTGTCCCTGCTCTCTTGACACACCGAGATAGGAGCGATGATGGGCCTACGTTTCCCCACACCCAGGCCTAGGCCTCGAGTCCTTAAAACACACATATACTGTGTGGGGTTTAAAGGACACCCCCAGGACCAAGAGCCCAACCCTTACCACAATTTTTGCACAGTCCATGCGCTCTACATAGCTGCGACAGCGGCAGCAGCGGGCATATCCAGTCTCCAGCATATTGAGGGCCTCACCCTGGCGACTAAGGTGAGAGTAGCCAGACTGTGGCAGGTTCCACGGGCCATACACCACATGCTGACGAGTAGGAAGGCAGATGTTGTCCAGATTGTCTGAAGAAGGCCGCCCAGGGGGGAAACCATCCAGGTGGTGGCCCCAGGCCCCTTGGGGCCGGCCCTGCGGGCACTGTGGGTTCAGAGGCACAGACTCCGGCTTCCCTGGAGTGGGGAAAACAGTGGGCGGGCAGATCATGTGGAGGGACAGAGAAAGGCTGATGGGTTGGGAGGACGGAAAGAACTTGGGGTTGAGCAGAAGGGATTGGAAGGATGTGGGGAAAGAGAAGAAATGAACTGTGACTCACTTTCAGGTTGAGCGGCTGAAAGGAAGGGAGAACCAAGGCATGAAAGATGTCACCCTCAGAGCCCCGCTGCGTCAGGCCCTCTGCCTGTGCCGCGCCCGAGGCCCTGGCTCCCTCTACGCCCCTCCCCCCCCACACCCCCCCACCCCGCCCCAGGCGGCCAGAGCAGGAGTTAGAGACCAGAGCGGCACTCACCCTCTTTCTGGTTCATCATTTCCTCCTGTTGTGGGACAGGTGTGTCTACTGGGGTAGAAGAAGAAGATGCATAAGCAAAACTAGCATCGGATGGCTCTCTCTAGAAGGGGGGTTCCGGCCAGCTCCCATTCGTAGATAGGAATAAAGAAGTGAAAACAAATGCTACTTTTAGGCCATTTAATCTCCTAACTTTATAAAGTAGATATTATTCCCCCAGTTTTACAGATGAAGAGACTATAGCTTAGGGAGATAACTTACCCAAGTTTACACAGCTGGCAAGTGGCGGAGCCCCCGGAGCCAGGGCAGAGAGAAGAGCGTGTCACTTACCTTCCTTCTGTTCAATAGGGAGCTGGGAGGAGGGCAGCTCTTCTTGGACAGGAGTGGCTTTCTGAGGGGGAAGGGGACCCGCTGAATGGCTTCCTGAGAGAGAGAGAGAGGGATCCTGAGCGCGAGGACACAAAGGAGCAAGGATCGGACTGATGTCAGCAAGATCGCAGTGGGCTGGAGGCCAGGGCCCCGGCGAGCACTCACCTGCTCTCACAAGGAGTTGGGGAGAAAACAGCTCTTCCACTTGGAGGTGGCCAGCTTCCAGGGAGGGCGGGGGCTGCACTGTAGGAGGGGAGTGTGTGACTAGCCAGCGGGAGCGAGGGGCCGGCTGCGTCCCCCCCACACACCTGAAGACAGAGGGAGGAAAGCCAGACTAGGGCCCTGGAGCAGGGTGGGGAGGGGGAGACTTACCTTCACTCTGTTCCTCAAAATGAGGGCCATGCTCCGCGGTGTCAGAGTGATCCATGGGGTGGGCTTGGGTCAGGGGTGGGGAGGGGGGTGCTGCATAGCCAACTAGAGGCAAGATGGGAGATGGTTAGAGCCCACAGTTCCCGTTCGGTCCTCAATCCCAGACCAATTCCCCAAACTTTTACCTTCTTCAAAGTACTCGGGCCCCAGCGTCCTCTGGCCTGAAGTCTTGAAACCTGGAGGAAGAGGGAGTCAGGGTGGTTTTGGGAGGCCCTTCCTGGCCCTGAGCACACAGTTGGGGAGCAGTAGAGGTCAAGGCTGTGGGGACGACAACCAGGACAACAGAAGCCCCTCCGTATTGCTCCTGCCCCATGTCCCCCAGGCCACCCCCAAACACGCTGAGACGTGAATCACCAGGCCGAAAAAGCCCACGGCAGTCTGGCAGCCTCGCCTCTACTGGGCTCCAAGCCTTGGGTCTCCCAAATCTAAGTCTAAAGGGAATGTGACACATGGGGCTGGGGAGGAAGGCCCTCACCTGCTGTCACTGTCATTCCCTGAGGACGCCTGGGCTCTCCTCCCCACAGCCTCTCTGCTGTGATGCTTCCCCAGTTTTCAGAGGAGAAGGTCTGAACTGACTGGAGTCTCATCTGCCCCCTTCTTCCAACGACTCTCCCACTCCAGGCCCTTTAAACACCTTCGGGCCTTCGAGTAAGGAGTGTGCCCAGAAATATAAGTGCTTCCTTCTCCTTTAACTAGTCCTAAGTACTCCTTCATTTAGGTCTCAATTTAGGACCGGGAAGCTGCGGTGATCCGGGGCTGAGGCAAACCTCCCCTCAGCCGCAGGGCAAGGAACCGCTTGTAGCTGACCTACAGTCAGGATGACTAGGACCGGAAGGGACAGCGGGGTGGGGCCTTACAGAGATCCAGGCTAGAACTAGGATGCTCTCAACAGTTTCCCTCTGTGGCGTTTCGCTCAGCATCCAAGCGGAGAGCATGCACTAGATAGAAGGTGGCTCTCTGGTCCCCTAACCAGGTGGGCAGCCAGTTAAGACTCTAGGTCAGCAAACCGTTGGGAGCAGGCTGGGGGCCCCTCCCTCCTCTGCCCCCCCCACCCCCGCCCAGGAGGTCCCACATTCACCTCCCTCAGGCAGAGGCCCTAAGCTGTGAATCCACCTCCCCACCTCCGCCCCAGGAGTTGTCCTTTGACTCTAATTTTGTGTTTCTTGGCAGCAATCACTAGAAACAATCTCTAGCAATCCCTTTCTGTGCTCCTGACTGCCCGCCCTGTTGAAGGCTTCAGGGCCCAGGCCCACCTGGAGCCTGCTCCAAAGCAGGACCAGATGGAGAATCAACCTGCTGACGACGAGCCATCTAGGATGGCTGGACTCAGGCCCCAGGCCCACGCTGGCCAGGGCCCCTTCCCAAGCGCTGCCTCCAACCCTGACTTACCTCCCTCGGAGGGTAGGGAAGCAACAGCCAAACAGGCCAAGACCAAGGCTGCTCTGGACATGGTCCCCATCCTGGGGTAGAGTGGTCAGTGGCCACCCCAGAGGTGGGTCCTCTCAGGCAGATCTGGATGGGAAGGGCTGGGCTGTTGGGAGCCTGCTTCTGGGGCTGCTTCTACTGCTGTAGTGAACTTCACGGCCAGCTCGGTCCTTTTATCTGGGAATAGCTCCCGCCCTCCTCAGCTTCCTGCTGTGACTCAGTCCCAGCTGCTCCTCCTCTGGCAGCCACTCCTCCCAAACTCACCCTGAGGCATCCTGAGAGGATTGAGAAGAATTGGGGCAATGAGAGGAGAGCATTTGTGTGACTTCAAGAGAAACCAATTCTGGGAAATGGTTCAAGAGATGTTGGAGAGCTTACTTTGTGCCTCAATTTCTCTGTTTGCATGTGGAGAAGGGGCCTGGCAACCTGTGGAGTTGGGGCTGGGGAAATGGGCCCTAAGGAGCTTGGGGTGGGGAGCAGGATGGCTCTCCCAGGGGCTGAGGGGCCTGGACTGCCCCTTTCCTTAAATTTTTAGAAAGACATGTATTGATTTTAGAGAGAGAGGAAGGGTGAAGTATCAGTTTGTTGTGTTCATCCGTGGATTCTTCTGTGTGCCCTGAGCAGGGATCGAACCCACAGCCTTGGCATAACCTTGGTGTATTGGGAACATGCTCTAACCCACTGAGCTACCCAGCCAGGGCCTGGGCTGCCCCTTTTCAATTACCCCAACACCCTGGGACAAAAGAGGGAGGCAGAGTTGGAACCCTTTTGACCCTCCCATCAGGAGCCAGAGATGAAGACACAACTCCAGTAGTTTTAAGTTTATTATTTTTAGTTTCACTCTCCTCCTCTGCAAAGAGCTACAGCTTCCCCAAGACCAAAATTCTTTCCAGGGGAGTGGATTCATGCCTCCACATGAGTTCTAATGAGTCTGGGGACTCCGGACTCTGTCAGTGATGCTGGCCTCTCCTGTGTTCAGAGAGGCTGGTGGCTCCTGCAGACTCTGTCACCTCAGTACACAAAACTCAGAACATTTCTTCAGCATTTGGGACCCTGGAGTTCTGTAGCTCCAGCAGCCGCCCCACAGCCTCCTTCAAGTCCCGCTCTCCAAGTCGACGATTATCTCGGGTCCGAATGTTCACTGTTCTCCTGCTCTGCTCTTTCTGGCCAACCACTGCAAGAAGCGGGGAGGTTTGAGTACCTCAGGGCCAATTTACCCAGGAACGATATCTTCCTTGGCTATGTGCAAATTGAAGAGATCTCAATCTTTAGAAAGGGTGAGAGAGAAGCCCAGATATGGCTGAGGGAAGGATATATTTAGCTGCTTCTTGCTCTTCTGTTCCCTGCTCACGCTGAGGAGATAAGAAAATGTTCCAAACATTCTCCCATCTGCCTTATCACTTCTAGTCAGGAGCCCAGGGGTCAGAGATAGTAGGGTCAGCCAGAGAAAGACCAAAAAAATCAAGGAGCAGACCCAGAGAGAACTGCGTGTGAAGGTTCGAGAAGGGGGGGCACGGCCCGAGGCAGCACCAGTGGGTGTGAGCCGGAGAATCAGGCCATCTGGCTGAGGAGTTTCTGCTCCTCGCTTTCAGGACAGAGCTCTGGGCCTTGGAGAACGAAAAAAGCGACAGGCAGGGCTAGACTTTTCTCCTTGCGGCCTTTCTCCTCATCCCATAGGGCTGAGCCCAGGTCTCGAACAAACAAAGCTAACTAATTAATGCCTTATTAACCCTTCCTCTCCCTTTCTCTCTGATGAGCGCTTGGTTAATTAGCCTGACAGACACAAGGAACTATAGGAAGGGTCAGAAGGAAACTGCTCTGAGGGTCAGAGGTAGCTGTAGCGGTGAAGCCTGGGGCCCGGCGGGCTCAGGCACCCGAATCCTGGCTCCTGCCCAGCTCGGGAGTTGAACCCCAACTAAGTCAAACATGCAGGTGACTAAACAATAAATAGGAGAGAACAGTGTACTGGGCAGGTGCCTGACCCAGTCTCTTACCAAACTGAAAATTGTAGCTGCTGAGCTGAGCCTGGCGGACCCTCCGGCTGAGGGTCAGTTTGGAGTCAGCGTCCAGGTCACCGACCAGTCCTGCGGCCCGCAGGCTCTGCTGTGCCTGGGACAGAGGTTTGGTGACAGGAACTTAATTTAATGGAAGGCTGAGGAGCTAGAATAGCCTGATGCAAAACTTCCCCACACCCCCATCTGGCCCTCCTGCCTGTGCCTCAAGGCTGCCCAGTCCTCACAGTGACCCCTCCTCCTCTCCCCACACTGAGGCCCTGCCTCCCCCTGCAGCCCCGCCTGCCAGTAGTCCCCTGGACGGCCTGCTTCTAGCCTCCGCTGTGGCCCCCTCCCCCCGGCGGCAACACTTCGGGGCAGCCCATATCCTCGCTTCTCTCTAGGAAAGAGAAATAAAACCAACATTTATCCAAGCCCCCTTCTGTGCCAAGTGCTCTGTTGTCAGCATTTCATGTATGTTGATTTAATCTTCACACATTGCCCTAGATGGTGTGGCTCTGTGGACTGAATGCCAGCCTCTGAACTGAAAGGTCACCAGATCGATTTCCAGTCAGGGCATGTGCCTGGGTTGTGGGCCTGGTTCCCAGTTGGGGGCGTGGGAGGCAACCGACTGATGTTTCTCTTGCACATCGATGTTTCTCTCCCTTTTTCTCTCCCTCCCTTCCCCTCTCTCTGAAAATAAATAAATAGTTAAAAAAAAATTTTTTTTCATTCATCTCCATAAGGCAGGGATCAGTTTCATTCTTCAGGTGTGAAATTTCCAGCACACAGGCCAGCAGCCATCTGAGCGCAGCCTAATGGTTCCAAGCGCTGTGCCCACTATCCTGCCCCAGGTGGTCTCCTATCCTATCCCTATCAGTCTTGTTTCAGCCCTGTCCTTACCCCCAGCTTCTCACCTCCCTGGCATATTCCTCTTGCTCGGTCCCCACAGGGATGACCATCACCTGGAATGGGGACAGCCACAGTGGCCTGGTTGGGAGAGAACAGGGGAGGGCAAATTACTTATTCTGGCTCTGACCAGGACTGTGGCTGCAGCGAGCAGATTCAAGGAGGAGACCGCCGCTGGGGCGTGCGGGGGCCGGGATCGGCGCGCGCGCTCGTCTGAGGGTCAGAGCAGAAGTCCGGAGTCAGTCGCCTCACCATTTCCCCCCGCAGCTCTCCGCCAGCACTCCCAGGATCCTTTCCACGGAGCCCAGAACTGCGCGGTGAATGAGCACTGGACGCTCCAGGGCCCCCGCCTGCCTTGGAGGGAAAAAGGGAGGTGGCTGGAATGGAGGAAGTAGCACAAATTGTGTAACCAAGAAAACCTTCCAGTTTTAGAAATATGCAGGCCCAGAAAGGGAAGGGTGTGGAGAATTTGGTTATTTTTAGGGTCAAAGGTAGAAGGGGAAAGTGTTCTCCACATATTCCACGGGCAGCCAAGGGAAAAGGGGACGGGCAGGGTTCTGTACCCCTTGTACTGGAGGTCAAATCTCAGGGGCAGCTGGAAGTCAAGCTGGATTGTCCCACACTGATGGGGCCGGCCCAGGGCGTCGTGGACGTGCACGTCAATCTGGAGGAGACATGGGAGGGCGTGAGAGTAACCAGAACCAGTACCCCCCGTTATCTGTGGCCCCCTTCTTTCTACCTCCCTGTGTTCCAGGCTGCTCTGAGAGAATGTCACCCAGCTGTATCATGCTTTATTTCACTCACTGGGGACTCTGGCAGTGATCCTCGGTGGCTCTTTCCTCTTATTATGGCATTACAATATTAGGAGACATCAACAGTCACAGGAATGACCCATCCACACCCTGGCTTCTCAGTCCCTTTCGCTCCTCAGTGCAGAGGCCTGCGCCCATGCCCATCCTGCCACTGCCCGAGCGGCTGCGCCTCTGCAACAGCCCACCCTGCCCTGATCGCCGTCTCGGTTTTCTAGCACTGACAATGCTACAAATTCTAGCATTGGTTTCCTTCCAATGTCCAGGTTCCTTGATTCCTTTTTCTTCCCATTTACAAGCCTCTCCCGCCTTGGATTCTTCCCCACGTGGCTGTAACCACTCATTCTTCTTGTCATGTTCACATGGCAGAACCCCACCCTGAAGGCGCCCCCCCCTCCCGTCTCCTCAGCACTGAAACACAACTGCTCAGTGCTGCCCGACACGTCACTCACCACACGGATGCAAAAACAGGACGGATGCCACCATGCAAGTCGCTCTTCTGAACCTCAGCTGGACCCCTGCTGCCTCAGGCAGCTCTGGGCCCGTTCTCAAGGGTTTCCAAGCTTTCTCCGCTCCCTTCACACTTTCATCCCTCCCCAGCTCTCCTCTCCCCCATTGCCCTTGTACCGAACGGCCCTTCTCCCTATTCATGGGAAGTCCGGGTAATTAATTATCATGAGATGGGAAAATGTCTCCACTTCTTTCTCCATACCCAGAAACTTCCCTGAATCTACCCCCAGCCTTTCTTTCTGCCCCTAAAACAAGGGCAAAGGTTATCCCTCCGGGCAGTGGAGGCCTCTCCATCCCACCCTTCCAACCTCCCCAGGAACCTTCCTCTAAACTTCAACTTCTCCCTGACCCAAATGGGAGCCCTCTCATCGCAGAAGTTAAACGTTCTCAAGTCTCTTCCTTCACAAACTTCTTCTTTGACTACTCAGGTCCTCAGTAACTCCCTCTTGCCTTTGCAAAAGCCAAAGTTCTTAAAAGAGATACATTCATTCATTCACCACTTACTCCACCCCCAATCTCCACTTTACCAAAAATGGTCCTGCAAGACCTAAGAGCCTTGAGCTCCGCCTTTACTCTGGTCTTTCTAGAAACCCAGCTTTGCTCTTTTCTGTGTCAGACAGTGTCTCCCAGGGGCAGGCACAGCACAATTCATGATGACCAATAAACTGGACGCGGCGGCAGCGTGGCTTTCTCCTTGTCCACAGTTTACTGACGGGCTTTGTTTGCTCTGCCTTTTCTTGGGGAGTGTGAAGCATAAAGCTTTTACCAACGTGCTTTCTTGGCCAATGCTCTTACCAGGAACGCTTTGAGGCTGCACTAAAGACTACTGCACTTCCAGTTCGGCAGAACATTCCTGGCCCAGCTTTGTTAGAGGACAGCTGCCGCTACCTGCTGTATCCCCTCCTCTTTCAAGTTCCTATCCT